CTGGCGGGGCGCTGGTCCTGAGTGTTACGGGGCCCTTATCTGGGTGCCAGCTGGGCTCTGATCCTCAGCGTTGCTGGGCCCTCGTCCGGGTGCTGGCTGGGCTCTGGTCCTCAGCGTTGCTCTCCTCCTCCTTCCCGTGTCATTGTCTCTGAACCATTGCATAGGTTTTCAAGTCTCTGCTTCAGAATAACTTAGTTTTCATTTCCTTTTGTAATAAAACATGGCAAACACAAATTTGTGAAAATAGTTTAAATCTTGCATTTCTCAAGATTTTTAATGTTATGTCTTATTTTGGTGGCTTGTTTTGTGTGTACTTGAACAAAGCCTCTTGATGTCTGTTCACATGTGCTCCATTTTGTGTGGTCCACGAGCAGCAGGGGCCGCCCTGCCAGTTGCCTAGAGTGTGGAGCAGGTGCTTAGGGCTCCGAGATGAGGTGGTTCCCTGAAGCAGAAGAGAAGTGGAAGGCCACTTTATAAGCTTAGCGTGGAAAATGTTTGCCATGACAGCTTTCAGAGTGGAAGATTTTATTTTGTTTTATTTGTAGAAATGGGGTCTCACCGTGTTGCCCAGGCTGGTCTTGGACTCCTGGGCTCAAGCCATCTGCCTGCCTCAGCTTCCCAAAGTGTTGGGATTATAGGTGAGAGCCACCGCGCCTGGCTGAAGAGGTTTTGTTTTAAATCCATCAAAGTAAAACAGTTAAAAAACTCAAACAATGAAAGGGTGAGTTGTGGCATTAGTTGAAATAGGATCATTGCCGTTGTTGTCCAGCAGGTGACTAAAAGATGCTGAGAAATACTTAGTTTTGAACACGGGTTCTGTCACCGGTAAGTGGTGAGACCTGGGACAGATCCTAATCTTTCTGAGCATCAGTGTCTTCATGGTAAAGCGGGTAAAATAGCCAGGATGGCTGGGAGCGAGACATGTACACGAAGTACTCAGTACTCCTCGAGCTCAGCAGAATGAAGACTGTCACTTCCTGGTGGGTCCCCGAGTGCCCACTCCGGGCTGGGTCTCATGGTGGCTGCCGGCTCCCGCCAGTCAGCCCTCAGACTTTAAGTCACCTTTAGTTTAGCACCTCCTGGTGGAATTCAGAACTGACCCTGCACAGTGGATGAGAACATTCTAGGCTGCCTTTTGGCATCCTGCTCGGTGGGTTCTGCTCTGGGTGGGGATTCTCAGTCTTTGCTTTCAGCATGCAGAGCAGCAGTATGTGAACCAGCGGATCGAGAGACATTTTACTCAAATGGGAGGCTCACTCTGGAATTCCTCCGTGTCCTGAACAGTCTTCAGCCATGTCCTGTGCATTCTTCTAGGGACTTTGGGAGACACCACTGGATGAGCAGAAGGACCCTGTACAGGGGAAGGCCACATGGAAAACTAAAGCGTAGTGAGGAGATGGCAAAACAGATGAAAGGCTGAGGGCTGTGGGTCAGAGTGGTTTTGGTTAGGAATGGCAGCTCCTGTCACAGGAGGACTTTGGCCTCAGACCTGATTTTGCCATTCACTGGCTGTGTGGCCTTGAGCAGGTTAATAGCTTCTCTGCGTGGGCTGCTGTCTGTGCTGTGAAGATGCTGCAGGGCCCGTCTCATGAGGCTCAGTGACCTGCTTCTCAGTTTCTTGACTATCCTTACAGACACATTTCAATGCACACACATGCGTGTCTGTACTTACCTGTGTTTTTTGTCGCTTAGTATTGTTGTGGCACTTTTTCCACATCAGTCCTTAGTTAGGGCCTTCATTCTCCTTACTGTTCCATAATTTTAAAAAAATGTATTCTTTTGTGCAATTTGAGGTTGATTTAAATTGCATTAGTTGAAAGCATGTAGTTTCTGGTGTTTTTTAAACATTAAAATAAATTACTTTTACAGCACATTATAATCTTGATCATTAAAAACAAAACTGGTTTTTTTTTAAAAAATTTTTCCATTATAATGTAAATATCATGATGCATTTTGAACGTCTCTCCAGTAAGCTTTTGGCAGTCGAATATTCTATCACTTTCTGTTCTTTGAACTTTGCTTTCCTTTTCATTTCCCTCACAGAATTTCATCCTGTCAGCATGGCTGTCGCATGCCTGGGCAACAGAAACAGGGATGTAAATTGAAGCTGAAAAAGTTTGTGTTCCTAACCATAAGGCCCTAAGGGCTAAAAAAAACCCCTTCTGGATTGAATTCCTACTACAATGGTTGAACAAAACAGCGTGACTGTGTCACCCACTTAGAACTAATTCTTGATAATAAAATACTGGGAATATATTTTTGAGTAGTTAGATGGGGCTTTTTGGTTAATTATTGTATCGATGGATGATTGATTATGTTTGACTGCTTAGATGAGACAGGATTCCACGTTGGTTCTGCTGTTTTTGGTTTTTGTAGCTCTAGGGTACTGGGAAACTCGAGTCACACCAGTAATATGTGGGAGAGGAAGGAGTCCTCAGCTTCCTTGAGTTATGTGCCAGGGGTCTCAGTGGTCCGTCCTCAGAAACTGTTTTTGATGATCTCCATCTGTTTTGTTGAAAGCAAAGGATTGCAACCCAGCTGACTTACTGAGGGCTTTGCAGTCAGCCGGCGAGGCGCTGGTTTTGTCACCACCATGCCAGTGTTCAGGTGGCCTGTGCTGGCTCCTGGGGTCTGCGCCCTAGGTGGATGGCGCGTCCAGTGTGCTCAGAGCAGAGGTGGTTTTTTAGGTGGGAAAAGGGCTTCGTGGAAGGGAACACACACATCGAGATGCTCACGGAGAGTCCTCTTTAGGAAACAGGACGTTCTGGAAGGTGGGGATCTGGAGACTGCGTTGCTGAGAGCTGTCTGCATCCACGAGCCCCCCAGAAAGCCGAGGGGCACCCGAGGGGCACATTATTCCAGCTGGGAGCTGGTTGCCTTAGAACATGATTTCCTTCACCTTAATAAGGATCTTCAAGGGAAAAAAGGTATATTTGGTCAAATGACCTTGCCAAATGGTGGCCTGAATACATTTTACTCTGTTAAACTTTCTTCTCAGACCATTAATGTGCCAGTGGCCACTGTGAAGAGTCATTAGGGGACTGTTGGCCACTCAGCAGCACCGTCCTTCTTCAGTTGCTCATGAGGGGAGAGAGAAAATGAATGTGTGTATGGACATACTGTGAGCCTAGGATCCCGGGGGCACCAGCCTTCCCACATGCTGTGAGCCTAGGATCCCGGGCAGGGATCCCGGGCACCAGCCTTCCTGTACATGCTGTGAGCCTAGGATCCCGGGGGCACCAGCCTTCCCACATGCTGTGAGCCTAGGATCCCGACACCAGCCTTCCCATGCTGTGAGCCCAGATCCGGACACCAGCCTTCCCACATGCTGGGTGGAGTTTGTGGATCCCTGTGGGACACCCCAGCCTCTCCTGACATGCTGGTGAGCCTCAGGGATCCCGACACTGAGCCTTCTTGCCATGCTGTGAGCCTAGGATCCCGGGACACCAGCCTCCACATGCTGTGAGCCCAGGGTCCTGGAGGCCAGCCTTCCACATGCTGTGAGCCTAGGATCCCGGACACCAGCCTTCCCATACACAGAGTTTAGATCTCGGGGATACCAGCTTCCCACATGCTGGTGGGAGCCTAGGTCCTGGACACCAGCCTTCCACACAGCTGGGTGAGCTCAGGATCCCGGGACACCAGCCTTCCCACATGCTGTGAGCCTAGGATCCCGAGGGCACCAGCATTCCATAGCCTCCTCTTGGGGAACATACCAAGCTCGTGCAGGCCAGGTGACCTCTCCAGTTCCCCATCTCTGAGGAGCATAGGACTGTTGCAGCCTGTAGGTGACTGTGGTGACCAAGCCAGCAGCCACCTGGGCTGCTTTTCATACCCGATCTATAGGTCATTTATCAGGTTTTGTTGTGTTAACTTTAGGTGTCACCAATAACAAGTAGACAAATTTTAAAAATAGTATTTTTGAATGAAATGCAGTTGATTATGCCTTTATTTTAGGGAAAAAACCTTGTGGTCCCGTGATTTACTTGGGCATGGCATGGCGCTGTGCTTGCACTCAATGTGGGGACAGTTACAGGGACACTAGGCTGGATTTTCCTGTGTGCAAATCACAGAAAGGCAGGCTTCCCAAGTTGGTTTTTGGAGAGTGAAGTTCAAGAACGGTGTTTTATTCTCAGATGATAACCACTTTGTATTTCAAGTGCTAGTTCCTTCTCTCCCCACCCTTCCACAACAAAGTGTACCTTAGATATCCCTTGTGACCAGGAAGTGCTAAGGCTTAAAAACGCACAATTGAAATCTGTGGGTGAGTCTGCACTTTGAGATGAAGCTGTGTTAGCTGCCGCCTGTCTGAACACACTAGTGCTTCCTCCAGGGTGGCACCAGGTTTGGTGGTTTCTGGGCTGTGGTTTGTTCTTTGGTAGAATTGTTTCCTTCAAAGCAGAACCCTGAGCCCTTTGGTTGTGGCTCAACATGTTCCTGCAGAACCTGGAGGCAGCACGTGTGTCCTTCCATCCCAATTCAGTGTGATGTTTGCCCCTTTCTTTCTAGGGTGCTACCATTTTGGAATGATACTAACACTTACATGGTTACGAACGTTAGATCTGTACCATAGGAATTAGTTGGGATGGAGTGACTGAAAATGTCAAGCCAGTTTTCATGCAAGTGTGTCACCCCAGAAGCTTTAGAAAACTGGGCGTGATAACAGCTGGTGTGGTCGCAGTCTATTCTGTGTCACACGCTCAGCATCCTCAGCCCAGCTGCTCTGAGCTATCCAGTTGTGCAGACGGAACACGGAGCACCAGCAATTAGGAAAGTTACACTGTTAAAAACCTCATCTCCAGTTTATTCTTCCTTAGCGTTTGGGGCTCCTCCCCACTCAGGACGGGTCCCTGGGAGTGGACTGTGTTGAATGACTCTTAGGCCTCCCCCTCACTGCGGGTCCCTGGGAGTGGACTGTGTTGAATGACTCTTATGTGCTCTTACCATGAATGTTGTTGTTTTAAGGCCTTCTTTTTCTTTGTGATTCTTTTGTTCCCTAGCGTCGTCCCCCAGACTACAGTAATACTCAACAATGATCGGCAGAACGCCATTGTAGCCAAGATGGAAGACCCCTTGAGCAACAGGGCACCGGATTCCCTGGAAAATGTCATTAGCAAGTCAGTAGCACGGCACCAACCCCACCTTTCCCTGCCACTGTGAGGAGTCCCGTGAGAATAAGTCAACGTCCCCAAGCCAGGGCACAGTCCAGCACGCACTTCATCTTTGTGGTCACAGGGTTGAGCTTGGCAGGCACCGCCCCAGCTCTCTGAGGTCGGGGAGGGCAGGCTGGGTGATGCTGAGTGCTGAGTCCAGCCACACCAGGGGGCAGCTGCTGCCGGGGACTTCTGTGTCTCGTGCTGGCTGGGGTTGTGGAGGGGGCTGGCTCTGTATCCTCACAGCAGTCAGTGAAAGCATTCATCCTCCCACCTAGCTCAGTGGTCCTCACGTCTGTCTGTCTGTGCAGAGTGTGTCAGGCAAACAGATACCCTCTCCCACGGTTGCTAAGTGGTGCAGGCATGTTGAGTTTATGACTTTTTTCTTATGCCTTTTTCTCTTGAGACATTTTGAACGGAACTTGGGTCAGAGGTGGGAGTGGACAGAAGACGCCATCCCTGCCCTGTGTGAGGGGAAGGCTGTGCAGTGGCCTCTGGCTGGCATCCGGGCCCTGCTGTCCCCAGGAGTGCCCCTTAGGGCTGCGTGAACCCCTGAGGATGCTGTTGCTTTTTCTTTCCCATCTGTGTCTTCACAAAGTTCTATTTGCTTTTTCTCTCAGTCTCCTTTGTGGATTGCTCCTCCTCCAGCTTCGTCCCCTTTCCGTATTGTCTTAGCTCAGTTCTCCAGGGCCGCAGCTGTGGTCACGAGGGTCTGATACGTGGGGTGAAGGGAGAGGAGTTGGCAGTGGGTGGTGAGGAGGTGCCAGGGTCAGCTGTGCCTCGGGGGCTTTGCGCTGAGGTCAACCAGGCAGATAGCCAGTGTTGAGATCAGGTTTAGCATGGACAGCGCCCTGGAGAACCCAGGCCAGAAAGTGCAGAGTGCGACCTCCTCTGGGTGCGGCCAGTGTTTTCAGCACCCCTTTTTTTTGACTTTGCAAATAGAGAAATTGTGGTCCTTTCTCTTCTGGTGCATAGCAGTCCACGGTAGGGGATGTTGAAAGGGTCATTAAAAAAGGGAAGTAGTAAGTCTCTAAATCATCTTTTTTTTGAGCACTTGTGGAGCTGGCCTTGCCCTGCTTTGCTAGCGGTGTTCTGTCTTTCCACATCAGCAGCCCTTGGGTTGATGGCAGCTCCGATGGGATCTCAGTGGGTTTTTTAAGCCCCTTCAGGGTTTTTTTGCCTGTGGGCATACTTGGGAGTGCTGCTTGCTTTGCAGAGGCGGAGCCATCTCCAGCACGCCCAGCAGCATGGATCGAATTGACCCAGGCCTCTGGGCACAGTCTTCTGATTTAGTCTTTCCTTTAACCTCTCCTGAAAAAAGACTCTTACCAGCATTTTATAGGTTGACTGCTGAACTCAGAAGGCAGCATACTAGGCCTGAGTCCCAGTGAGTTACGATTTTACTTCTTTTGTGATACAAATATTTTCTTTAAATGGTTAAGTTTTATTTTATACAGTTTCGTTTAGCCCCGGGCCATTTTCTCCTATGGAGTTGCTATTAATCTTGGTAGAGAGAGCGGTCTGGGAAGGCTGTGTGATCCACTGGTCCATGCAGAGTTAGATGTTGTGATAAGGAAAGCACTGACCTTCGCGTGCTGCCTGTGGCTCTTACCACACTGGGTTGGTGTGTTTTTTTCCCGTTCAGCGCTGTGCCTGGGCGTCGGCAGAACACCATTGTGGTGAAGGTGCCGGGCCAAGAAGACAGCCACCATGAAGACGGGGAGAGCGGCTCGGAGGCCAGCGACTCGGTGTCCAGCTGTGGACAGGCGGGCAGCCAGAGCATTGGGAGCAACGTCACCCTCATCACCCTGAACTCAGAAGGTGCGTCCCAGGCGTCTTCTTTCCTTGGCCAGAGCAGCAGTAGGATTTTTGTTTGTTTGTTTTGCTTTTTAGAAATTAATTTAGTTGTTTTTTAAAAAAGTGATACAGTGGCCGGGTGCGGTGGCTCACACCTGTAATCCCAGCACTTTGGGAGGCTGAGGCAGGTGGATCACCTGAAGTTGGGAGTTCAAGACCAGCCTGACCAACATGGAGAAATCCTGTCTCTACTGAAAATACAAAATTAACCAGGCGTGGTGGCAGGTGCCTGTAATCCCAGCTACTTGGGAGGCTGAGGCAGGAGAATCGTGGAGGTTGCAGTGAGCTGAGATCGTGCCATTGCACTCCAGCCTGGGCAATACAGCAAAACTCTGTCTCCAAAAAAAAAAAAAAAAAAAAAAAGTGATACAGTATAGGACAAGCACAGTGGCTCACGCCTGTAATCCCAGCACTTTGGGAGACTGAGGCAAGTGGATCATGAGGTCAGGAGTTCAAGACCAGCCTGGCCAAGATGGTGAAACCCCATCTCTACTAAAACTACAAAAATTAGTCGGGCATGGTGACAGGTGCCTGTGATCCCAGCTACTTGGGAGGCTGAGGCGGGAGAATTGCTTAAACCCAGGTAGCAGAGGTTACAGTGAGCTGAGATTGCACCACTGCACTCCAGCCTGGGTGACAGAGACTCCGTCTCAAAAAAAAAAAAAAAAAAAAGTAATACAGTATAAAAATGAAGAATAAAGGGAAAATAACTTGTGATTCCACCATTCTGAGATCTCTAAACCTTTGGGTTTTTTTTTGTGCACATTTCATAAGATTTTATAACTCACTTCTTTCCCCTGCACAGTAGAAATCTTTCCATGTTAGTGCAGATGGACAGAGTCGCTTTTAGCCAGTTTTGCTTATTTCATCAGGTCTGGATGCTTTCCAGGGATGGCTCCCTGTAAGCTTTCATTATTGAAACTAGCATTGGCCTGCTGTCTTTTCATGTCTCTTGGATCCGTGTCTGGACATGGGCTCTCAGAGGCAGATTGCTGGGCTGGAGGATGCAGAGGCAGGACACAGCTTCCACGGGGTCCATGATGCACTGCCCGTTTCCTCTGAGATCTAGAAGGATGTGACCCTCTTTGTCCTACTTGGACTCCTAGCGGGGGCTTCTCTCCTGCAGGGCTCTGAGGCGCCCTCCCGCCTGGCCCTCGGCCTGCCCAGTGTGCCTTTCAGAGCCCTCTTCCCCGGAGAGCCTCTGTGTGCCCTTCATCCGTAAGTGACCAGATGACTGTCAGTTACTGCAGTGAGGAGAAAAGAGAGAACCAAACAGACTTAGCTTTGTGCGTGGAGTTGTAAAGCATGTGTTTTCCTTACTTACTAGGAAGATCTCCAGTTTTTTCTGCTTCTGCGTCTGAGTTGTTGATTTTTCCTAGCAACTCGATGTTGATTTGTCTACTGAACAAAGGTTTTCCTGTTAGGAAGACTCATTACCTTATCTGAAACATTGAAAACAATGTTTTCCACAAAAATTGACTTTTACCTAATACAGATTGCTAGGATTCAGATGGCAGAATGGCGGGAAGAGAGAAAGAGAGGTTGAGTTGATCTTTTTTTTTTTTTTTCCCAGTTGAGATCTAATTTATATACCATAAAATTGACCATTTTAAAGCATACGTCTCAGTGGTTTTTAGTACATTCACAAGGTTGTACAGTCATCACTTCAGACTAATTCTAGAGTATTTTTTATTACACCCAGAAGAAGTCCTGTGTCCATCAACAGTCACTTTCCGTTCTCCCAGCCTCCAGTCCCGGCACCCAACTCATCTCCGTCCTTGTGGATATGCCTATTGTGGACCTTGACTCTAAATGGAATCCTGTAGCGTCACCCACATTGTAGCTTTTGCCCCAGCATTTGTTCCTTTTCATGGCTGCGTGATATGCCAAGGTATGGATGGCCCACATTCTGTTGATCCATCATCAGTTGATGGACATCTGGGTTGTTTGCACTTTTTGGCTGTTGTCAGGAATGCTGCTGTTGCTGAATGCTGCTGTGAACATTGACGTGCGGGTTTTGTGTATGGAGGAATTGCAGGGTCAGGGCAGTGGAGTTTTTCACACATTGAATTTGAGGAACGGAGGGGTGCTCCTGATTTCATTTTCATGGAAATTGAAAATCACATTGCAGAAACGACAGACTAATTGTTGTAATTAATTATTTTTCGATGTGGGTTTTGTGTAAATCCCCATATAGATCTGGCCACCCCTTTCAGGCCTGATGTTTGTTTGATTTAAACTGTGTTAGCTGAGGCAAAAAAAGAAAAAAAAAACTTAGTAGTTCTGGGGAGTCCAGGGTCATAAAAACAAAAAAATCTAAATGAACTTATGAGAAGATATCAAATTTGGAGTCTGCTTAATATTAATCTGTATCTATAAGGAAAAATACAAATTTTCTTTGTGTCTGAGTTTTTAAGTTCTTTTGATGTTTTGTGTAAGACATTTTTCTTTAGCAAAGGCTCTGAGCAGACTTTATAGCCGTTTTTGCCACTGATTGTCCTCATCAAACATAATTTTGTTGTACAACACAGGTTGTTAGGATTGGGGTGAGTTGCAGAACTTTTCTCATCTTCAACTTGACTTCGTTTTGAAGGGGAGGTCATCATCCCGAGCCATTCTGTTTTCTCATCCCATTAGGAGGAAACATTTCTTGTAATAAATCTCTTTCACTGACTCTGTCCTTGGGAATGTCTATCCTCGTGGGGTCGGTGTTATGAAAATATCTGCTTGAGCTGCCTTATTTGGCATCGTGGCTTGGTGAAAATGACACCCAGAGGAAGTCATCTTTAAATGATTGCTGTCTATGTAAATGTTGGAAAAATAGCCAATCCATTAATGTCTCTGATGTCAGATTTACTCTCAACCCGTAGTGGTGTCATCTCTTCAGCATTTCCATGGCGGTGCGAATGTGCCGAGAATGGGGCCAGCAGCTTCCTGCCTGTGCCCCTCTGTCCCAGAGCACCTGGGCAGGCGGTGAATCAGTGAGTTTCTACGAGGGAAAGCATTAGGAATATGGGAAGTGCTAAAGGGGGGTGCGCTTGTCTCTCTGTTTAGTTGTTTTAGGCTCTGATAAGAGACAGGAGCCGCAGGAGACAGATTGTTCTTAGCTTCTTGTTTAAGTATTTAAGTGCCTTAAGTCTTAGAGAACCACAGATTTCAAAACAGTTATTTCTTAAGAATTCCAAATGGCTTGTGTGAATTGACATGCTGTTTTATATCAAATTTGGAATCAGTTTATTATACTGCAAAGATACCATGTCATTTTATTCTAGTTTTTTTCACTTAGGTAATTCTGTTTGTCATGACAGACACTCCACTGGAATAAGAAGGACGGTAACTCCCAGCTATTGAAAGCAGGGAACAATAGACTGTGTCTCATTGGAATAAGGACGGTAGCTCCTGACTGTTGAAAGCAGGGAACAGTAGACTGTGTCTCATTGGAATAAGAAGGACGGTAGCTCCTGACTGTTGAAAGCTCTGTTTAGTTGTTTTAGGCTCTGACAGAGACAGGAGCCGCAGGAGACAAGATTTGTTCTTAGCTTGTTTAAGTATATTTAAGTGCCTTAAGTCTTAGAGAACCACACAGATTTCAAAACAGTTATTTCTTAAGACCTAAATGGCTTGCCAGTGAATTGACATGCTGTTTTATATCAAATTAAATCAGCTTATTATACTGCAAAGATACCATGTCATTTTATTCTAGTTTTTTTCACTTAGGTAATTCTGTTTGTCACACAGACACTCCACTGGAATAAGAAGGTGATCTTGTAACTCCCAGCTATTGAAAGAGGGAACAATAGACTGTCTCATTGAATAAGGGACGGTAGCTCCTGACTGTTGAAAGTAGGAACAGTAGACTGTGTCTCATTGGAATAAGAAGGACGGTAGCTCCTGACTGTTGAAAGCAGGGAACAGTAGACCGTGTCTCATTAGAATAAGAAGGACAGCAGCTCCTGACTGTTGAAACCAGGAAACAGTAGATTGTGTCTCAGCTGGAAAATAATAGCCAGGCGCAGCTCCTGGATCACTGTTGAAAGCAGGGGAATGGTAGATCAGGCTCTATTGAATAAGAAGAACTGTGGTAGCTCCTGGACTATTGAAAACAGGGAACAATAGACCGGTGGTCCTACGTGTCTCATTGGAATAAGAAGGACGGTAGCTCCTGACTGTTGAAAGCAGGGAACAGTAGACTGTGTCTTCGTTCTTGTGCTTGCCTTTTGTCAGTAGTTTTGGTCTTAGTGTGCTCATAGCTTTGTTTTGTACTTGAAAGTGTGTGGGGCGCCATCGTTCAATGACTAAGCTGCCGGCTGAGTTAGAGAAACAAGTTGAGCTAAAATGGACCTAGAGTGGGATCTGTTTGTCCATTAAGGGATTTAGTTAGGTTCTTAATCAAGAGTTTAAATTCCTGCTGTGTATGCATTTGCTGATTCCTACAAAAATGCATTCCTGCTGTGTATGCATTTGCTAATTCCTACAAAATCCTACACGTAAAATGTTAGGTACTTAATTTCAGTGGGGAAGGACTGTCATTGAATTCTAGTTGAATTATTGCCGGGAGTTGGTCCCATGGACATCCCAGTCAGTAGAATGACTTACATGGTAGCCCTTGGTGATGCTGGTGAAGGCAGGTGAGGCACAGCTGGGCGAGTTGGGCAGCTGTGAGAGCTGTCAGCTGCGGCCGTCCTTCAGCTGCTGCTGGCACGCCATCCATGGAACGTCAGCCACGCACGTGGAAATAAGAACATGTAGCCACGCTGTGCTGTGCAGATTCACAGACCTCACAGTCCACGAATGTCAGCCATGCACGTGGAAAAGAGAATGTGTAGCTACGTAGCCATGCTGTGCTGTGTGGTCAGATTCACAGACCTTGCAGTCCGTGGGATGCCATCCGTGCACATGGAAAGAAGAACATTTAGCTACATTCCTCAAACATTTATTTACAGAGTTCATCTTAATGTGGTTTT